AGGGAAAACATTTTTGTGAACGCGGATATCACGGCAAATGACTGTTCTACCAGTTTCAGGATTTAGAATAATGTTACCCCCAAAGAATTCTGTGCCAACATAGATTCCTTCTTTTGCTTTGGAGTTTAGCTTATTCTGATCGGGATCTAGCCAGAAAGCACGACAACCGAAAGGATGAAGATGTTTAATGACAGGCGTCTATTGAAATACCGCATAATTTGATGAATTTGGAGCTATGCTGTTTAGGGTTATGTTCAGTGAGCTTATAGAAGCAGTAAGAATGATAGTCCACAGACGCAATGGTAAACCTGAATGTAAGTGAAGCGCTCGTATCTTTTCAGTGACTGTACGAACGATTCTATCAACAATTTCACTTTGCTCTGGAGCATGTGACGATGACCTACGCCATTCAATGTCACGAGAAAGAAGTTCTTCTTGAAGTTCCGAGTTTAAGAATTCAGTAACACTATCTGTGTGAAGAACTGTTGGAAATATCGCGCAATGAAATGGGCGCAATATTCATGAAACGAAAGTAGAAGTTGACTAAAAGAATATCATGTTCGGATTGCATCTAAAAGTGTGGGAGGTGTGCGCTACAAGTACAAGTGTAAGCGACAGGTAGCTAAGCCACAGCATAAACGAGCGTGGCGCTATCTAGGCATAGAAAACCCCCCAATAACCCCCTTGCGCCCACGCCATACAGCAGCTCATATATCCAATAGGTAGCTTGAGGCGCTACCATAATACCTACTCCAACCTCTTAAATACACACAAGATCGTGTCGGGAACCTAGACGAAATGGAGGGCCCGTACGTCCACAACACTCTGTGTCTCCATTTCCAACAAGAACCTTTGGAATTTTGTCAAATTTTGTCTTCGGGTGTTGTAGAAAATGACAAATTTGAGTTGGCACAGTTTTCTTAGAGTAGACCGGCCAAGCCCATTTCCAAGAGGTGAATTCATCAACTGCAAAAAGGAACCATGTAGCATTTGGAACTAATTTGTCTATGGTTGTGGTAGATAGAGATTTCTGACCACCAACTAGATCTATATGAATAGCCTGACCAAAAGAGGAAGCGATGCGTAGGGAGCCATGTCCCTTGCATTTGGTTATTTTGGTTTTAGTGCGTATCTCACATTCAAGAGGAAACCTAGAAACTTTAATTCCAGCGGATTTTAGCATGGCATTTTGAGCTTTCTGCCCAGGATGGCCAAGTATACTGTGCCAGTCACGAATTACTAATATGTTGTGTGTTTTCATAGGGTCGGTTACATAAGGTTTGCAGATTAATCTGCCAGATACTCGGTGGAATTTAGCACAGATTGTACCATCTGGGCGAATGAGTTCGACGTCACGGTAGCCTGGAGGCCATTTTATAGAGAACCCCTGCTTTTCTAGCTGCGCTGCTGAGAGGATTCGATGTTTTTGACCTGGCATGTGTACAGCACCTTTTAGTAATTCAGTTTTGTTGTCAATGGATGGGAATTTATGATCACCACAGCCGGCAGTCGTTACTCTACCGCCTCCTGCAACACGAACGGTATTGGTAGTATTCAAATAGGATGAAAAATCATGTTCATTTCCAGACATGTTGTGGTTATGAGCTGTGGGGTATATAGCAATTATGTCTCTGCTGTCCGTCGGTGGAGTTACAGGGGCTCATATGCAACGGTGAGTCGTGGAGATGGCACGCTCACGCTGGGTGATGGCACGATAGACACTGAGTGCGTATCACTGTGGCCAAATAGGTGTCAGTAGGTATCAAATGTGAACTCTTACTGACGATGGTGATCTATGACGGTGATGCTAGATGTGCATCCCGACGATTGATAATATCATCTAATGGATGATGTGAAGTATGATATTGTATGGATAGATTGATTTATAAACTCGGCAGGTGAAGAGATTGTAGAGTAAATGAACAGCGTCTGTGGACCAGCCTGTATTTTCCACCCTTTCCTAATTCAGCAGCCCATCCTCCATTCCCGTCTCCTAACAAATCAACCGAGCCAGCACAATAACACACGTGAAAGTCTGCAGCTGTGTCTAACTGAAAAGCAGAATTATCAGAAGTACTATTTAGGGACAAAACCTTGTTCTTTGAGGACCCATTATTTTGCCGTGAGGTTTCTATCGCAATTTTCTTTTTCTTACTACATTCATTTTTTTTGTGTCCTTTAATACCACAAAAGTTACATGTCACAAAACTTTTCTTGAAGCCAACTGATCTTGAATTTGAATTAGTAGAAGACCATCTAAGACATTCAGAAATCATCCCGTGAAGACCATGATCCCGACAACGATTGGCAAGGTCCGGCTGCAAACTGTTTATGTGGTGCAGAAAGAGGTATTTCATTTGTTGTTCTACCTCTGCCGTAATGGAATTGTGTTCTCTGAGATTTTGAAAACGCTTTTGATATTCCTTCATAAAAGCTTCAACAGTCATGCCTTTGTCGGGTTGGAAGGTCCAGAATTGGTGAGTGATATTCATGAGATTAATTTGCCTCTTCGCGAGCGATGTAGTAGCAATTGTGGTGAGAATCATTAAGGGAGAATCGCGAGGAGCTGTTATTATATGAGGCGCTACTGCCTTCAGTTTTGCAACCCACCAGACTGATCATATGATTGCAGTTTTATTGTTCGGAGGACTGGATAGGAAAACGGCCGATGTCTCGGTGAGAAGCATGAGACGCTGAATAGACTCGCACCAATGAAGCCAATTTGATGATTTTAAAATTGGAACAGGCACAATTTTCTCGATGTTACCCAGGCGTTCTGACCAGGTCCAGATTTCTGTCTTTCTACTAGATTCTTTGACCGAAGATTGAACGTCCTCAGCGGATGCGAAAATAAGCCTGTTGATGATAATTCAGCTGAAGGAACCAACGTCTGATGAATATTCTTGATGTTCTACATTTGCCTCTGATGAGGGCTTAATTTTAAAAGATGACATTGTTTAAATGTGCGTTAGTTGCTACGTGCACAATTGTGTACGTAAAGACGAGAGCGCGAAAACTGATGTCGTCCGATTTCAATAGAAAATAACAGACGCTGTGTATGCATTGGAAGTGACTAGAGGGCCATAACTTGATTTGCAAGAAGCATGAATGTTACATTAAGTGATGTTAACTACTGATAAATACAGTTGTTGGAAAATGCTGCTTAGTCAGCTGGGTGATTTGGTTAAACCCCCTCACCCTCTGTATTTAGTACACACACATTTTTCATATATTGCACTGCACTACTATACATATTCTCCACATACCTTACCTCACCCTCTATCTTTTCTCGCCACTGTGACTCCACTTTCTCAATAATTCTAACAACAGTTTATGATGTGATATATCACGTGATATATGGAGCACCCATTACAGATAGAGTTAGTCTTATAAAGTCATCAACATTCTATAAGCCCTTTGTATGAATGTTTTTCTCACCTTACTTGGAATGAGAGAGTGAGTTTACCTACGATGATCACTGAAACTGTGCCCTCTTACTTAAAGTCACTCCGTAGGAGTGGAAGTGACGAGAGATCGAAGAGCAAATTGGAAGTTGAAAGTCCATGAAAAGAATATTATGGGGCAACCAGGACTTGCTCCTCACTGTCTACAAGAAAATAATTCAATTTATCATGTTTAAATATATCAAAATTAGCTAGTTTCTTTCAGGTAGATCCTAGAAGTCCTCCATAGTCATAGACTTAGACAGGACTATAATAAAAAAATACTTTATGAGGCAGTTTATTTTAATTCTTACTGTCCTTTCTCAGTCCAAGACTTTGTGGGACACTTAGGTCCTATCTACCTATAGGCCAAAGATGCCTGTCTAGTAGTATATCTCCTATATAGCTCCCCTCTCCGGCCAACGAAGCGATGGCCATTTTCGGGTGAATGGTAGCTGGGGACAATCGCAAAAACCACTGGGTGCGGAACTTTCCTAATACCGACATCAGGACTAGATCCAAAGACATAAATACCCTTCCGAATCGTTTAAAGATGCCAGAAAGCTGAGCGCTGCAAAGCTATGGGTACCCAAGGAAAGTTTATACTTCGCCTTTGTGGTCTCCTTTCAACTCCTTCCCAAAGGTCGTGCTGAATTGTTAGAAAAATATTGACAGAGCGTGATTGCTGTTTGGTAACTTAGCCCAACTTCTTTTGTGCCATTCAGGGCTCTGGAAATTGTCTTGACTCATCAACAGCAGGAGTCCTAGCTAGTGATACGAACCGCGACCTTGGCGCCCAAATACATCATAAAGTAAAAATCCATTTATAAAAATTAGTCCCAGAATGCCTACGATGACCTATTCTCTCATTCGTTCCAAATCCAAGCTGTCTGTATTGCCTCAAACTTTAGAGTCCCATCTGAGCAGTGTTCCCCCATGAGCCGCATCTCGGGATTTATATCTTAAGACTTGACTTTTTCCTTGCGGGCATACATGGCATGGTAACTTTGTAGTGAGAGATAGCTGTTAATCAATGATGCAAGCTCCCGTTTGGAATTGAGGCAGCGATTTGATCGATTGTTGAGACGAGGTGGTACGTTGTAAGATTGAGTTTAAGGACCCGCATGAGAATGACAAGAGAGGCATTGTCGAGAAGTCGTCAAATGGAGATATGCTTGAGGTTGCTTTCGAATTCGATTCGGATACGATTCTTCTTGACTATCCGAGGTGTGTAGTGCATTAAGAGCGCCTACACCGCCGCTGCTTGAATAGGAGATTTCGCCTTAGGTGATTCGTGAGGTACTTGATTGCATGCCAGAGCTAATTGTTAGCTCCATATAAGTGGGCACCGGCTAAACTTAGACATGGTTCGTGCGAGACGACTAACTAGCTGCCATTCATCCTCAGTGATTTGTCGACGGTTCATCTACTCGACACATCTTCACACGAAGCCTCTACGTTGCGTTCATTATGCAGTCTGGCATAATAGGTATACCTCACAATATCTCTTCTCTGCGCATATGACTTCTCATGAAAGACTAACCTTCGCATATTGAGCTAGCCTCGAAAGAACTCCACGCTGCATTCCAATTATTAATCGAATCACCTGATCAGCGGGGCTTAGTGTGCACCATTGCGAACGAAGCCCTTACCCCAGTAGCGGTACTGGAGCCGGCCACTTCCTTTAACGATGATCTAGCCCTTCTCACGCCACATGTCCAGGCTACCGTCGCCAGGTATTTTATTTTGCGGCTTCCCGAGCCGACCACTAGTGCGCCATTCGTCGCTATCACTTACGTACCCGATGCGGCGCCAGTGCGCTCCAAGATGCTCTTTGCCGCGACGCGACTCGCGCTTGTGCGCGAGCTCGGCAGCGAGAAATTCAAGGAAACGCGCTTCGCTACATCCGCTGATGAACTCACACCAGATGGCTTTCAGAAATACGATCAGCATGTGAAGCTCGCGCCGCCCTTGAGCGAGATGGAGAAGAGTCTTGCTGCAGTCAAGCGCTCCGAGGCTGAGAGTCGCGGCTCCCGCGTGCGACAGAGTCCTGTCGGCGCCGCCGTCCCCATATCCGCCTCGACTGCTGCTCTCCAAGTCTTGCAGCGGCTTGCTGAAAGCGGTACCAACGAAAATTTTGTTCAGTTGGTAAGAGATCCTGTCTCCTCACTACGACAGTCGTGTCGCCGTCAAATATATCACCTTAGCTTATGTCTTCTAGTATATCGACCTGCCTTCAGAAACCATGGATCTCGACTCTGTCAGCAACATATCTATTATGGCTCTCGCTTCTAGCATATGTAGTACTGCGCCTCGCTACTCTCTTTTCAGATACACTCACACCCACGAAGGAGTCACCTCCTCTCCTATTCTCTTCATCTACACATGCCCTCCCTCGTCCAAGATTAAGGAGCGTATGGTCTATGCGGCATTCTTGCACTCAGCACAGCTCTTGGCTGAGGAAGCGGGTCTTGTCATTCAAAAAAAAATCGAAGAGGGTGACCCCAGTGAGATCTCCGAAGAGAGTATCCATGCGGACCTGCACCCGCCGGTAGAAATCAAAAAGGGCTTTGAGAGACCCAGAAGGCCAGGTGCCAGTAAGCTCGCTAGATAGAGACAAATCGTTCACAGTTCTACGGATTTATATAACACCCAGTCCAGTATACCGATTTTTCCCGCACTCTCCGTAGAAGCAGAAAATAGCTGTCCCTTGCGTGATATTTCCCGGCTCTAGCTTAAATATCATCTTCAACGTTCGGCCTTCATGATATTTCATTATATCTACATCTGTAGTTGAAGCAAGGGCTATATGGCTAATGTTAAAAGTGATTCGTTAATTATTTGATGTGTATTCAGTTTTGTAGGTATGGCAGGTTATCAGTATTTTGCTTGTATACAAGGCGATTTATTGAACTACGGAGTTTCTCGAACTCTGGCTTGTGTTCGAAAATGCTACTGCGAGATATGTTTGTTATGGTAATCAGACTACGACAAGCATGACCCCATATTTTAAAAGTTAGCAAACCTCAAATGCAAAGCTCTGTCTGCCACTCCTATATAGAATGCGTGCAAGATTGTGCTAGCTGTGTAAATATATCGTCCGTCCATTCGTAACGACTGACCTCTTCGGACGCTTCAGAAGATGAGCATGTTTTCGGATCTAGTTCTGATATCGGATCTAGGAGAGCCCCGCACCCGGTGGGTGTGAGTCTTTAACCTAGAGCTACACCTACTAATAGTCATCGCCTTGTTTCTGGAGAGGGAAGTTGACGACTGGGACAGCTTTAGCTTAGGTCCTGTATGTCTCATGATAATGAACGCATGAAATTTTTTATTTTGCATCAGATTTTAATTGCGTATGCAGCTATCTAGCTATGACACAATATCAAAGAAAAGTACAGAAAAGATGATTCAACGTAAAGGAAGAGCACTCACGCCTCAGATTTCATTTGCAAGTACCACTGCGAAGTTATGGTGGCTTTTTCTTTACCCCAAGTCAACCCTCATCCGTGAATACCCACCCAGGGGAACGTCTCAAAAACCCTGAGTTACCCAGACATGCCTCCATCATCTTTCAACTTTTCTCCGCGCGAAATGTAATCCGAGATGTCTCTTTCCCAAGTAGAGTAGGTGCCCAGGCTACTCAAACTACACCAGGGAACACCACCAGGATGCGGACCACAACACTTTCCATCGTCTGCTTGTTTTTATAGTGTCAGCTGCACTCTCACAAGCGAAGTCTTGGCGCGCAAAAAGCTCAATTCGTAAAACTCTTGCCAAAATTCAGAATCTCACGCCCATCGAGGTTAAATCCTTCCTTTGCATCATCTTGTAAACTTGTCCTGATCTCTCTCATGTTCATCCCAAAGAACTGTCTCCCAGATTTGTGCGCCACGCTGAACGCAGGATAGGCAACACTAATAGCCGCGCGTCTTTTACTGTATATAGATAATTGGTGTTCAAGTAACATACTTTCCTTAATTAGATCCCTTCGAATACAAGTCATTACCCAAGCACAACTCTCACAAGTGCATTTAAGACGGTCCGTCACAACGAAGGGAGGATAGCTCCTCTACGTGTGCACTCAAATGAAGACCTGTGGGAGCACTATCACTGGAAAGAAGCCACAAAGGAGGCATAGGAAATTCTGGCCGGCAAGTAGATAGGGCCTAGATATCCTCTCGTTAGTAGACTCGGTAGGAGGATTGACATTCACACAAGTACCTCTAATTTAGCCTCCGCCGCAGGACCGAGCGAAGCGGAGGACCAAGCCTCATCATTTGTGCGCGCCTAGTGAGTATTCTCGCAGAGCCGAGTCACTCGTCTCGCGGGACCGGAGACCATCTTTCAATTGCATGAGCCTTGTCAAGTCTTTACTTTAAATGAGCCAGGTTCCAACTATAGCCACATGAAGTTTACAAGTCTGATGTAGCACGCATCAGCTCGTGAGCAGGCCTCTCAAGTAGCATCCGTAGAGATTAGACACCGCTCTCTCAAGATCGAAGGGAGCTGGTCTGGGGCCAAATACCCACCCAGATTTCTGGATTTGGTCGTATAGAGAAGGTAAAGGCAGCCTGGATAGCCAGAGGTTCGAACCCTCTCTCTGGCCAGTAATTGCACCGTTCAGAAAGCAAGCAACCCTGATAGTGGTCTTTGCGAGCGTCAGACAAGGTAATGCTGTGTTTATAATTTATATAACCACTATATTTACCGAACAGGGCACGGTCTTATGGTCTAGAGGTATGATTCTCGCTTAGGGGTGAACCCCAAGCATCTTGCGAGAGGCCCCGCGTTCGAATCGCGGTAAGACCCCACAGCCCATTTGCCATGTTTTGATGGGTACTTACGGAGGGGTGCTGACTGCTTGTGTAAGCAAGCACATCTCCTAGTGCCATTTGCGAATGAAATCCCGAAGAATTTATTTTGTTAATTTACGCGCTGGGTAAAGTAACTCCTATTGCACTCCTACCGAAGCTTAAGCACGGGTGGGACCGGGCTGGATCAGGTTAACTACCGTAAAGTTCAAGTACCTCGTCCCACCTAAATGACTAGACAACCTCAGACCTTTTTTTTGCATCAGATTTTAATTGCGTATGCAGCTATCTAGCTATGACAAAATATCAAAGAAAAGTACAGAAAAGATGATTCAACGTAAAGGAAGAGCACTCACGCCTCAGATTTCATTTGCAAGTACCACTGCGAAGTTATGGTGGCTTTTTCTTTACCCCAAGTCAACCCTCATCCGTGAATACCCACCCAGGGGAACGTCTCAAAAACCCTGAGTTACCCAGACATGCCCCCATCATCTTTCAACTTTTCTCCGCGCGAAATATGGTCTTTGGCGTCTCCTTCCCAAGTGGAGCAGGTGCCCAGGCTACTCAAACTATACCAGAGAACACCACCTCAGACTTCATCCATATGTTGAATCATGTCAAGCCCATGAAATCCGGAGCGTGAGTGTCTCGAACGTCAAAAGAGTCATCCTACATGTATACATAGCACCGGTCATATGTCATAGCTCCTTAGCTGAATACACCTAAATGATTTTAAAAAAAAAGCAAACAACGGCCTGGCCACGTCTCATGTTTCCCGGCAGCGGCTGAACACAAGCCATGCAATTTCACAGGAAGTAGGCCTCTGGGCAAGGCGTGTCTGCAGCACTCTCAACTATTCGACGGTCTCAGTCACGAGACGCCCGATAAGGATATGCCTGCGCAGCTCATCCCATATTTTTATGCCTTCCGACGCACCGCGAGCTTCGGGAGTGCCGCTTGCCGAGGAATCGGCGCGAATGGCATAATCAGGCACCCAGCCTTGCGACCTGCACTTAAATCCACGACCTGTTCCGCGCAAGCTCGCCCCATGCACATATGGAGGGAGAGTCACGCACGACGCAGAATCTCATAGGTAAGTCTCTCCCCTCCTCTCCCACCGCCACGTCTGGCAAACTCTTGCTCCTACTCATCTGATGTCGGATTAGACCGGAAGGAGCGCATGGTTGCTGAGCTCTTGACGCGATTCAAGAACCTCATCAGCCTCGCGGGCTCCCCAGTAGAAAAGAATGCTACTAAAGAGGTCGCCGCCGCCCAGGCGTTTCAAATGGAGGTAGAGACTACGGCTCTAGTAGGTAGTTGAATTTCAATCTAAAAAGCTGCTGACTGACAATTCTAGGTGCGTGCAACTGAGGATCTCCATGTGTTGACGCGCGAACTTAAGGAGCTATGGTTATTTGGGCCCCTGCGAAAGATCGGAGAGGGTGAAGGTGAGGGCAGCATTGATCAGGACTCAGTAAGGGTGGGCGAGCTACTTGAGGAATTAATTGAGAAGAAAAATCCGGCGAAAACCACTTCCCAACCCGTGGCGGAATAATCCTTGAGGATGCGCCTACTGCGTTCAATTTTGGTACATGACTTTTATTTCTTGGGGATGATCGATGCCGGTTTCAGGGGGCATTATTTTCAGATTCAGTCAAATTTCTTCACTCTCAATAACATCGAATCAAGTGATTCCTAGCTCTATATGTACAGTATTCAAACATACGCTAGTGAAAATCTGACAATATCACGAGTTTAACCTTCTTCACCATTGGCATTGGCTTCATCTTCGCTCTCGTCTTGGAGATTTCTATCAATTCCGTTCGCCGGACCAGTTCGAGCCGCAGTAATCCCACCTGCAGTTACCCACATAAAATAATCAGATTTGTGTTGATCGATATGGTGAAAAAATGAATGAAATCTGTGATAGTTAATTTCATAAAGCTGGAACTTAGCTATAGTTTTTGTACTTACTGGTGATCTTGTTCTTCTTCGCGGAAAATCCGATCATATATTTCTCTCTGCTTGAATTCGTCTATTTCTGTCCTATATTTATCAAAATCAATCTTTTCTCTTCCAAGTTCAGTAACGGCGCGTTGGTTATATGTGGCAAAAACGGGTCGCTCTAAAAGTAGCCCTAAGCCTGGCGCCTTAGGAATACTAATTTTTTGTGGCCCATAGCTTTCAGATATACGCATCATCGGCGTCCCACATCGAACAACCAGTGCAGCCATCCCTACCATTTTTCGAATTTGATGCATCATAAATGACTGGCCATGGACTTTCATTGATAGCCATTCAGTATCATTGATGATAATTGGATTAGTATTGATATCGAACGATTTTATGACTCTTTTGGCTGACGGATCACTATAGTTCTTTCGTACTGTATAATTATGAAAGTTGTGGGTTCCAATATAGTTCGAAAGTGCCTCTTGTACTCTATCCTGTCTTCGACGTGAGATACGATATTGTTTTTTGGCTGCGATGTAAGCTGATCTAACCTCTTTTATGGCTATCTCGAGTGGACTAAAGGATGTTTTTGTAGGTTCGATTTTTATATTCTCATTCGTTTGAGATTCCATGTCTTTTTTAATTATCTCTTTATTGCTAGAAGTATCTCTACAATTTTCTGAAATTTTGTCTGATTCCGAGGGCCCCTCCTCGCTCTTTTCATGTTTCGATGAGGGATCTTCTTGAAGTGAAGGTTCCTTCGGGGCTGAATCTACCTCATCTGCATTACTTACAGCTTTGAGAGTTGTTATCGTGTCTGCACATTCACCTTCCTTGAACGTGGCGAGCAACACATCCTCTCTCATCTCAGGGTCTAGCTTATCTAACACTGGCTTCACATAGGTCTCCAGGGCTTCTTTCCAAAAAGTCTTTACGTCGCTTTGCAACTCCTGGTATTCTTCAAGATAATTATTCGCCGTTGCGAACTCCATCAACTTCTCCCCAAGGTAACTCTGGGGATGGGGGGGCAAGAAAGAATATGTTGGAATTAGGTATTCGTACCATCGCGAATCACAAGACTGGTAACAACTAAATCCACCGTTAGTTCGTTCAAAGCCCCACACTCTGATTTGGTCTGGTAGATTCTGGTTGATTTTTTGCACAATGTCAGGGTCCTCTATAATAAGCTTTAAGGATATCAAGTTTCCTGCAGCATGAACTCCCTTATCTGTTCGTGCGCATCGAACAAGAGAAGACTTTTTGGGGTCATTGGCGTTTGCTTTTGAGATAGCACCAGCCTCAACAAACGCCTTGAATATATCACCTTCTATCGTCTTCTCTCCTGCATTGATTTGGATTCCTTTGTAGCCAGTCCCAGCATATCCAATCATAACAGCAACTTTCCGTTTTGGTTTACGCTCCTCTGTATCGTCATCATTTTTCGTCGACGAAATAGTTGGATCTAGGGTTTCATCGCCCGCTTCAATTTTTCGACGTTTGACATCTTGTTCGGTATGACTTCTTTCGCGTTTACCTACGTTCCCACGACTTTAAGCAATCAGTTCTTGATGAAGGGAAAAGGAAAATGTGAGACGTCTTACTTCCAATCACCACGTCCGGTATCTTTTTTTTTTTGTCGACCATTTGGATCCTTGGATCCAAACCCTCTACCGCCCCCCTTACGATCTCTGCTACCTTGTCCCCTGCCTCTACCACCACGACCCTGGTTTGAGCCTCTCGATTTCTCATTATTAAAGGATTTAGCACCGTGAGTGAGGTTAGCAGTGGGTTTGACTGCAGAAGCATCAACTTTAATTTCTTGTGCAGGGGCTGCGATAGCTGGGGAATTTTCCGACATGATGTGAATAATTTCTGCACGGCAACAAGTTTCATAGTTATTCGGCTACTCATTCTCAGTGGGTGGGCGTTAATATTTGGTGATGTTGACTAGTGAACCCAAGGCTGTCAGCTAGATTAGGATTAGTGTAGCCTCGTATCATGAAATATTTCAGCTCAGTGTACAACTAAATTGCTTCGTGACCGATAGTGTCAATGTCTGTACTAACTAATTCGATCTTGGGTAATAGAATCATGTTACATCGATGATAGGCAATTCTAGGACCTGCAGAATATACTTAAACTAGGCAGTGCCAGCACTCAGACTTCTAGGAAGCCCATTGAATGATACAACTTTCTGCGCTGTTTGAAGTCTGAAATACCATTGAGGCTATCGGTAATCAGAAAAGAGTAGCTATGGATCTTGCGCAGAGCCTTCTGCGCTCATGTATGCGCTCTTTCTATGATACAAAGTATATTCTCGTTATTGATGCTCTGATCATTCACTCAGCGTATGTCTATGCATTGTGGCTCTACCACAGGATGTTGACAGACGAGCAGTATACGGGATGATGACCTAGCTTATCTCATGGGAATTAATTTGAAAGAGCTACACAAACTCTGTGGTCGTCTGAATGAGGACAGATTTCTTGCAGTGTAGTGGAAACATATCCTCCAGATCTTCGGACACTAACTCGATTGTTTTACTAGTCATACTCGTGCAGAGCAAAAGGGAGACCAAACACGATTGATGAGCCGAACGTACTATTACATTGACTACCGTGCTACAATAGATGCCATTAAGTGGCGAGTTTACCTGATGAACAAGAATGTACAGGGCAACACAATTCCTCAAGATGAACGGAAAGAGTGGTTCTGTAATAGATGCAAATCGGAATGGACTCAAATTGACGTCTTAGATCGTTGGGATGCCAAATCTGGGTTCCTATGTCACAAGTGTAGCTTTCCCCTAACGCACGACCCAGATAATAACCGTGGCGGACATGAACAGTCCACGCGATATCATGCTCAATTCAGATTCATAACTGAAATCCTCCCCAAGATTGATGAGATTGTCATACCAGAAAACAAATTTGATCAAGCCATGGCTGCAAGACTTGAGGTCACTCGAGATGACACAAACCCTGCCAACGAGACTGCACCTGTTGACGTCTCAGCCGCAAAACCAACTGCTGTCAAGGGCATGACAAATGTTGGACCTAGCTTTATTTCAGTCACGCTCACAACAGCAAATGGACCAACCGATGCCGATCTGGCTGCTGAAAAGGCACGGAAAGAAAAAGTGGCCTTCCAGAATGCCATGCCTGTCCACTTTACACATAGCACAGTCACTGGAGAGCAGGTTAAGTTCGGCACACAGCCATCTTTATCTTCTTCAGCACTTGAGACTGATAGAAAAGCTGTGGGAGATGAGTCTTCTGCAGCGATTGACGGTGCAGAAATGGATGAATACTTTGCGCGTCTCAAGGCTGAACAGGCTAAAGAAGCGGAACTTGAGCAAGCCGAAGAATACGAAACTGATAACGAAGAAGAGGATGACTTTGAAGATGTTCCTGTAAGTTCTGGGGCTGGAAATCCAACCCTGTCAAAATCATCTACAATCACCAGTGTCAGCCAATCTACAGTTAGCCTGAAGCGGACATCTGGTGACTTGAAAAAGAGCTCCATCACTAGTGCTACCAATGTACTAGTAGACTCTTCATCTGCAACTGACGAACGAGCAGCTAAGAAGGTCCGGATTGAAGAGCCAGCTTTTAAGGAGGAAGATGAGAGCGAAGAGGATATGGAGTTTGAAGATGTCTGAGTAGTTGTTGTCTCCTGGTGCAGCGATATCATAGTAAAAGGCGTTAAGTAGATAAGAACTTTGGATGGATGGGACTCACAACTTGTCTGGCGTAGCGCGTCGCAAAAGCCAAAAGGCCTATTCAAGCATTTAATATATAGAAACTTGGTTCTTTTTTTCGAATAGAAAAATTTGTATTACCGAAGGTTTAGGACGTTTGAAACTTTGAGGTACCTATCCAGTTAGTTTTACCATGTCGAAGCTTTGGATAAGTTCAGCTATTCGAAATCTGCTTAGATTAGGATGTCGCCTTCTAGCCAACCTGTCTACGAGGAATAACCAAGGTTGTAAAAATGTTCATTTATTGATAATACTACGAACCAACACCGTTATGTGTGAAGGGTCAACGCTGCAGGTTGTTAACTTACATGAAATTTCATGGCAGCGCATTTGAAGGCATTTTCCTTTCGAAGTTAGATTATAGGATTCTGGACGTATGTCTAAGCAAATCAGCATACGTTTTACCCAAAATTTTGGCACGCAAGGGCCTCTAAGCGCTCGACGACCAGCAAGGCGATCTTTGATAGGATTCAAACATCACTAGGACTGCTAGAAGTGATAAAGGAATCTCAGATCCCGAATGTTATAATTTTATTATTGGTTTAACCACTGATAGCTCTTTATCTTAGGTATGTGAAGTGACCGGATGTGATTTGTCTATGTTGGCATTTGTGTTATTATGTAAGCATAACATTGACTTCTATAGATTAAAATAACCTCTGGTATCAACATATAGATGGTGATGTGACTAACTTTATCGTCAGACACTCATGTCCATGTAAAGTGACTGTTTTGAACCTAGAGACATTTATTTATTGTAGTTAGGGCGTGTGTGGATATGGAATGATGAATAGGCTAGGGAAGGCAGGAGAAAGTGGATAACGATCGTCAGAGACCAATAACACAAATGAATAGCTTAGTTGTAATCTATGTTGAGGTCGTGGTAGTGGATAGGGCTTTTATATATTTGGTATCCACTATCTAGTACTTCACCGTCTATGCGGGTTGTTCTACAACTATAGTTCCACGCCACACTATCCTCAAGTACTCTGTACAATTCGGTGGAGCTGTGTCCTCACTATCGAGCGTAATGGCGGCATGTAGTGCTGTGCAGTACTCGCATATATGTACTGTATCTCTGTCGAAAGCTAAGAATAACTACCGAAGAAGTTGGATAGTGAAATGTATCGGGTCAGAAATAGGACTGTCCATACGTACGTGGGTTGTTTGCTTCGGTCAGTGCTTGATTTCTGTATTTAGAACCGCAGGTTATTCTATTCCCAGCACATGTCTATATTTAGAGATCAAGAGTGAGTGATGTTTATTGTTCTACTTGAGTCTTAGAGTATCTAGCACATTGGGGCTCCTCTCTAACCCAGGCCACACCTTGTACAGTGCTCCTTGCCTCTCATGTTTCTTGAAAGATTATTGATATATTCCCCTTGATGAGTAGCCATTCAGCTCAGTTTCTATCTGCGGAACCTTCTACCAAAAAAAATGGAATCAATGGAAACTGCGTGCGCGGGAAAAAGTCTCAAAAAACCTGCAGCCCCAGCCAGGCAATGCCTAGACACCGGGACCACATGAGGTACGCATATTCATCTATATCTCTCTTCTTTGTAACATCCGAGGTCGACTTGATCCAATCCACCATCGCCGTATCGGGTGCTGGATACTCTCCGAAAACTCATCGGATGGCTTTTCCTCCCTGATCAAGAGTTGGTCATGAGAAGGGCTCCGACTCTACCCTCTGATCTGATCGTGGTAGCTTCACGATAATAGTGAGAGGGGTATGTGTTGAGAGATGAAGATGATACAGACGGCAATAAACGATCGGGAATCCTCGTTGAAGTGAGGACTTTGTTACTCAATGTCAGCTCTGCAGACTCCACTGCGAGAGCTGGAGGTTCGTAGGGGACACCACTGACAGGTGTTGAGAATAGTCCCCCTTAGAGATCAAGAGATGAAGTCAATTATGACCAGTGTATCTAGTCCTAGAATTCCAGGAGAAATAGGAATCAAGTTGTTTTTACTGATTTATCTTTTTTTCAACTACATACACTTCGCCTTTCACAGGTCAGGCTTCCAGTTACCTGACAATCTCGGACGCAAGTCGGAGATGTATTTATAGCAACTGCGATGGTCATAACACAAAACATTTCCCTTATTTTGCAGGAATACTTGTGAGAATTGGGCTTGCTGACTCGAAAAAACCAATACTCAACTTTTCATATTTATCACTGGAGTTTTTCCACCTTTAATTTACGATGCTTCCTCTGTGCGCAGGGAGGAATACAAGCTGTAATGTACAAATCTCAGGTCATCGCTTATGGCGTACTGCTGCTCTGATGAGACTCTTTGTTGAGACCTAATATATACATTATTATTACGGGGTAAATAACGTATGGGTCAGATATTTACCTGACTGTGGGTGTTCACCAGTTGGGCAGGAAGTCTGCATGACATGCTGTGTTATGGAAGATACAGGTCACGTATTAGTGGCCTTCGGATATTTAACAAGTGGCAGGAAGACGGATCACTTGCTCCGATTAGGATACGAGTAAAGGACATGAGTAGAAGACATTAGTGTTGGCTCTACAGAGCTGGATCACTCGTGAACTATGAATGGTGTATATATGACTAGATATGTGTATTGTAATTTTGTTAAGTCTTTATTAGTATAACAATTATTATTTCATTCCAACACTCTAAAACTTGAGGGAGTACACGCATTTGGGACGAACGATGGAGAGAGAAGCTATCGAAAGACATGCTGACACTTGTGTTTGCAAATGTATTTCGAACTTGGTATGTTTTTGGACGCCAAGACTACGATTCCCAATAACTAGCCGGATGGACCTCTATTGTCAAAAAAGCTTCAGCACACCTATAGCATTAGGACTGTCAATACATTTCTGATATTTCGGCACGGCCCTCCAGGATGAATCGAGAGGAGACTTTAAATGCAGGGTGTGGCTTTCTGTTGGAAATCCTGACTCTCGAATTTAGGACTCAACCATTATCTGTTTCGTCTCAGGTTCCCGACAAGATCGACTCTCTCTACACATGTTCCGAGTGCGCTTATCGCGTCTACTGTCGCATATACGTGAGGATCCAAGATTGACAGACCTCTAGATTAGTACGAGGCCCTGATAAATTGTAATGCTTGTGTAATCTTTTTTTGCATCAGATTTCAATTGCGTATGCAGCTATCTAGCTATGACACAATATCAAAGAAAAGTACAGAATATATGATTCAACGAAAACGAAGAACACTCATGCCTCAGATTTCATTTACAATTACCACTGCGAAGTTATGGTGGCTTTTTCTTTACCCCAAGTCAACCCTCATCCGTGAATACCCACCCAGGGGAACGTCTCAAAAACCCTGAGTTACCCAGACATGCCTCCATCATCTTTCAACTTTTCTCCGCGCGAAATGTAATCTGAGATGTCTCTTTCCCAAGTAGAGTAGGTGCCCAGGCTACTCAAACTACACCAGGGAACACCACCAGGATGCGGACCACAACACTTTCCATCGTTTGCTTGTTTTTATAGTGTCAGCTGCACTCACGCAAGCGAATACTTAGCACGCACAAAGCTCAATTTGTAAAAACTCCTTTCCAAAATTCAAAATTCCACGCCCGTCGAGACTGTATCCATTCGTTGCATCATCTTGTTAACTTATCCCTAATCCTCTCACGCCAATCCCAAAGAGCTATCTCTCAGATTTGTGCGCCACGCTTTGCTTCCTCCGTCGGGTATAAGTATCGGCGTGGGCGTGTATTTGGTGACCGGCTGAGGCCAGAGAAAGTCGACGAGAAGTGTGATCATTGGGATAAGGATGTACTAGGTCATACTTGTAGAATTGATGAAGCTTAGGTAGGAATCGATCTCGTTGGGTGTGAAAATTTGACGTGGTGGAGTAATATGAATCATTGTCTCGTGGGCCAACTTGTTCGGTATTGCGAAGTTTGACTGAACTTGGTTCTGGGAGAATATTTCACTCCCAGGTTCGTAGAGGACACCGCGTACAGGTGTTCAGTCTTGTCCTCCTGTGCTAACGTTGTTTACTGCTGTTAATAGGAGATCCCGCACGGGCTATCTATTGGGATTAAAATGAGTCTGGTACCTGTGTTTAGTAGAGTAGTCGAATTGACATCCTTTTATCCTTCATTATTGCATAAGCTTCCCTCTAACAATAAATCCACGAACTAAGTAGTGGGTTATACATTTCAATACCTTAGATGTATATATATGTCCAATGTTCCCATGGTTGTAAAATATGAAGTCTTCTTTACTGCATCACACATATCCATATAATATCGTACAGAGTATATTTTCCAACACTTTCTTAAGTACACATAAGTCTGCAATGTCCAGTTGGCCGGCCTCTTCGAACGCTTCAGAAGGGTCAATTTGTCTTCGGATTTAGTCCTGATATCGGTATGAGGAGAGCTCCGCACCCAGTGGTTTTTGCAATCTTTCCTGTCTGCCATACAGCGGGAAATGGCCATCGCTTCGTTGGCTGGAGAGGGGAGATAATGAAGGGCAAAAGGCTCCTCCAAGTGTATGATCAAATGAGGATATGTGAGGGGTGGTACTGTTTGAGGAGAGCTGCATGGGAGGCATAGGTATCCTTGACCTGTAGGCAGATCCCATGTATCATATATTTTTGTTTTGAGGTCGGGGGTACAGAGTGTCTTTTACATTTTTGTTTTAATCATTTCGTATTCAGCTATCTTTCTGCCGCCAAACGTGTAGGGGCTGAGCGTTGCAGCCAACTGGATTACGCAAGCGAAATTTACTAGCGAGTCTTGCATGGTTAACAAAGGGCAGAATGGCGCCGCGGACGAAAACGGCAGTAATACCCATCTATTCAAATTTACATGTCCATCGGAATCTTGAGAAATCCGCTTCAAGATAATTCTTTTCACCGACAGATTAGTCGGCACGTCAATTGTGAAAATGCCAACGCTGCCAGAATTAACGCTTATTGTGGCCGCCACAAACAAAATGGGCATCGGTAAGGCGGGTGACCTGCCGTGGACGGGCCTGAAGAAAGAAATGTCTTTCTTTTCGCGCGTCACCCGAGCAGCAGCACCGGGGGCATGTGGTTTATCTCTTCCCAATAGCGGTCTCCCTTCACCACATATCTGACAGATCACAGACGATTAACGCCGTTATCATGGGCCGCAACACCTGGGAGAGTATTCCGCCGCGATTTCGGCCTTTGAAAGAGCGCCGGAACATAATTTTGTCGCGCCGCCCTGACGCCCTGAACGGAATAACCTCAAGCTCACTTGTCGTCAAGTCGCTCGAAGAGGCGCTCGTGGCCGCAGATGGCTGTGCGCGAATCTTTGTCATCGGTGGCGCCCAGACCTATGCCGCTGCTCTGACCTTGAGCTCCACAACACGTATCCTTTTTACGCGCATCCTTGCGCCGTTCGAGTGTGATACAGATTTCCCTCTCGAACTTCGAGAAGATGGCAACTCGGTGAAGGGATGGTCACGAACTTCCCAAGTCGACTGGCGGCGTTGGACTGGTGAGGCAGAAACACCAACGTCGCAATCAGAAAATGGAACGTCCTACGTCTTTGAAATGTGGGAAAAAATAATACAGATTGTTTGATGGATTAATTCAAGTGTTTCCCAATCGAAGAGTGATGAGTTAAAATCCAGTTTTTCACGTCAAGGATAATCAAAACCCAGACACAATTATGACGTCGAGGCTCTTGTTGTTAGATTTAAACTCGCAGCACAGTTACTCGAGGCACTTAAAACCTAATTTCTGCTCGGAAAAATCTTTGGAATATCAAAACGTATCTCAATTTACCACGGTGATGAACTATCACTCTTTACCAACAAATATGCATTAATCTTTTGTTACCTGCCAAACTCTCATTTCTTCCCCGGTAAAACTAGACTTTATTAATTTAATCAAGTTCAAGATTAGTCTCTTATTTTCAATAACAACTGTGGCACCTCATCGTAGACCAACGACTAACTTGTCGCTAGATTCAGAAGAGTTTTGACCAAGAATTGATAAGTATGAATAACTTGCGAAATTTTAATCAGGTGAATGCTTTAAACTTGTAGATTTTGCCAAAATGCGAAAAAATAAGCATAAAAACTCTCGGAATATTTATAAATGACTTTTTTATATGCAACAAGGCAAGATAATAATTCAGAATTTCATTTTATCACAGTAAATCGGGTGTACGGAATGCGTTTCTTGTTGGGCGGTAGATACGTATTAGCAAGTATTTTGAGGGTTTAATTTATTACTTGAATACATGGTATCAACAACTAACTATATGTAACCATAAATTTTGTCACTAGAATAACCAACAGAATTGGAGGAAAAGACTGAACATCCGTACGCGGTGTCCTCTACGAACCTGGGAGTGAAATATTCTCCCAGAGCCAAGTTTCGTCAAATGTCGCAATACCAAAGAATTTGAACAACCACATACAAATTTTGAGAAAAATTTACGATTTTTGATTAAGTTATTGCGACTACAAGAAAGAAAGCACGAGTGAAACCCCTCAGAAGTTTTCAAAGAAAATGCTTGAAGCTTGTTGCAGGTGCCTACAATTCTATTAGCAGTAGAGTGCTAGAGCACGAATCGTCCGTCCTCCCTATAGAGATATACCTGAAACAAAGGATGGTCCAGCATGCCGGACTATCAGATAAACTCCCAATTCAACAGACAATCTGATCGACATGTAAGAGGATAAAGCTGCCCGCAAACGGAAGAGAAACTCAGCATACATTGACTAAGAGTAAAGATATCGCGGAATGGACAAGAACTTGCGGAAGGGAAAAGGACAAGGGGAGGCAGAAAGAAGCTGGAAAGATAGCGGCCTTTCAGGGGTGGAAGGATTCATGGACAAGCCAGATCAGGAAACACCGCCCTGGCCGACCAGCGTCAGCCGATCCGGAACATTGGAAGGTGGCAAATATATTTACTGATGAACAAACAGGCAGAGCCAAAATGAACTTCAAAGATACACCCTTAAGAATTCACGGTAACCTAACCAGGGCCCAAAGCAGTGTCGCCATTCAGCTAAGGAGCGAGCATATCGGACTCAATTCTTACCTGAGTAGAAGAAAAGTACCCGGAGTAGAAAAGCCAAGCTGTCAATGTGGAAATCAGTCGCAAAATGTCAAGCATATGGTGATGGCGTGTCCGCAGTGGGCAAATGGAAGAGGCGACTTTCTCCGACAAGCTAAAGACAGGTCATTTGAAGCATTGATTAACAGCCTAGAATATATGGCTAGAATCACACAGTGGATACTAAATAAGGGGTGAATAAAACAGTTTCGACTTGCAAGGGAAATCGAGGTAGCAATGTCGGATATAATAAACCGATCTGGAAGAGGAGAGGACGGAATCCAGACGGACTGAACAGTATACACTGCACTTCCTGAAGGTAAACTCAATAAATCGATAGGAATATAAAAAGACAGGATCAGGGGGTATTCATCAAATTAGTTTCCTCCTGTAAATTATGCAGATAGTCACCTGCACGGACCCATAGGGTGCCTGAACTAGTTAATTGAAATCAAATTCAATTTCAAAGAGAGCACAAAATTTGCAACAAATTGCGTCTTTATGCAGAGCCGGTCACCATACCTGAAAATTTTTCATTGGTTTAAGACGCGTTTTTCCAGGGGTTTTCGCGTCAAATTAGAAAAAATATAGGGATCATGTGACCTACACGTCACGTGGTAACCTGAACCCAACATTGAATTTCCTATAAAAAATACAATCAAAGTAAAAAAAAAGAAAAAGGGTTATCAGAGCCATGGATATTGGATGACCTGACCCTTTGACTACATCTGACTTCATGGAAACTGATCTTCATAGTAATACTCTTGCCATACATGGAGCTGTCGCCGGATCAATTGGTGTTGGTATACAGCAGAGCAAGTCCAGAATAAAATCAGTTAATTAATGAAATCTAGAGAAAGAAGAGTTCCTATTTCTCGCTGTATACATAGGGAATTGTAATTGTCAGCGCCGATCATAACAACCTATGTTGCTAAGCAACCATATCCAGACCGCAACATTGGTAGCCCCCGTAGCTGGCTAGGCCCTATATTCCATCCCTACCGTACTGGCGCAGACAGTACAAACACAAGGGATTAATCCCGTAACAGGAGCACTCAATAATATCCCTACACCAGGAGGCAGTTCTTCATCAGCAACTGGAAATAAAAGAAAAGCTACTTGTAAACCAGCCCAAGAAACTAGAGAACATAAAGCCACTGGACCAATCACTCAAATTGACAATTTCAACACTCCAGAGGACTGCATCCAAGCTTCAAGGGACTTACTGATTAAAGCAGCACATCTTGAGCCAACTAGAACTAAGCAGACCAAAATTCTTGACCTACTAAATATATTTCGTGAATTTATTGAAAATGATGGAGCCACTCATAGAGTTAACACCAACTTTTGTGCTCAGGTGCAGAGACTTAAACAGACAGCCCAGATCCTCCAGGCATGTGCTCAGAATACAAAAATAGAACAGGAAATAATTATCCTCCACATATACCTCAGAACACTAGACCAGGAGGTAGGAATGGTAGAAGAAAAGCCCAGAACCAGGCCCAACCTAATCAGGCTGGAGCAGAGAACCAAGCACCTTGAACTTGGGCAAACATTGCCACCTCAGCAGGTGCGCAGTAAAACTAGGCTTGAGGTGAATGGATTGAACTACAACCAAGGAAGAGAAAAGCTCCTACAAGACCTAAGGAGATCAATAGCATTATCCTAATACTAGATGAACATGCTCGAACCAATTTCTGAGCCCTTTATTCAGAGACAGAATCAACCAGGCTTTCCAGAACAGGGGTGTTCAGGGCCCTGTAGTTGCGCTAGTATCCAAAACTCGAATGGACAACATTGCAGTAGTGACTACTCCAACCTATACAGCAGACTATATGTTACAGAACAGGGACATATGGCTAAATGCTGTTCCATATATTGAACCTGTAAAAGGTGAAGCATGGTACAAAGTTGTAGTGCATGGACTACTAACAGCTGACTTCCCAGAATCCTCGGACCTTTCTGAAATTGTGGAAGAAATAGAAACATTTAACCAAGGATTAAAGGTCATTGGCCAGCCCTACTGGATCACACCTGAAGAAAAACGCCAAAATCAAGCAGCAGGATCAATAGTTGTAGCATTCGAGACCAAGGCAGAGGCAAAGCAGGCTACTAATAGAAGACTGATCATTGCTGGGCTCTCACTAAAGGCCGAGAAATACCAAAACATTCCAGCAACAACCCTAATGCACAAAATTCCAGAGATTTGGACATATAGAAAACAATTGCAGATGAGAAGCCGCATGCAGATACTGTGCAGGATCGCACCATACAAGGTAACACTGCTGCACACAGTGTAGAAGCATTGGTGTCAGATGCGTTCATCTAGTGCTATGATGCAGCAACTGCACTGGAGCTCACATAGCAGACTATGGAGGATGTGAGACAAAGTTCACCATTTTAACTCGATAACAATCAACGGACAATTCCGAAGCATTTTAATGTCAGCACAACTTAAAATATTACAGTGCAATTTAAATAGAAATATATCAGCAACCGAAAATGTATTCCAACTTGCCACTGAGCTTGGGGTTACTATAATAGCAGTTTAGGAGCCATGTGTGAGTGTCCGGAAAGAGCACGAGCTAAACGATGACAATGTCGAATCAAGTAGAGACTCAGATCATTATTATAATATATAAGATTCTAAACTAAAGAAGAGAAGGAAATGAAAGCATCTACAGATCTATAATAGTACATAATTTACACCTGGACCGTGCATTCCATATAGGGTAGCTCTATACAATACTGACTAATTGCTACATCATTACATCTGTACTGAATACTATGGTGCAGGGCAGTCACACCATGAATCAGACAATCCACCACAAATATAAATTTTAGGGATGCTCAGTCAATCAACCATCCTGCATTCATCCAGTTTCTACCTGTTACGGTTTGACCGTGGTTTAGCTTAGGTGGAGACCTAAGCGGGGTTTGGGGGCGTATTAGGGAGAGTGTTACATATTATCTTGTATCAAGCGACTAAGTTTCACTTGGCCACATTACATTGGAGCTAGGAGGGAATGTGAGACGGCGAAGTAGAGTTGCTAAGTGAGAGAGTCAGCTAGATGGCAAAGATGACGACGGGCAGTGGCGGAGAAATATGTCATCCTCACCAACGGAGTACGTACTGGATGAGCTAGAAGGATGTTCAAATAGTCATTACCCGTAGTTGTGGTATTTCTCTCTTCATATAGTTTAATCTTTCTAAAAGTACACTACAACCAGCTTGGTTTTGTCACACTACCAAAGTATGACAACAACCTTCTAAGACCTACAACCATGATATATATCAGCCGCAAGATACAGGCAAGTGTTAGTCAATGGTTCAGCTTCCCCTCAGGCCCGGATTTGCTAGGGGTTAAAATTCAACACCACAGCCATAATTTTGTACTGATAAATATGTATAACCAAAAATCCCAGGACCAGTATAGGCCGAAAACTATACAAAGAAATGACTCCTGGTTTAAGATTTCAAAGAGAAGTATATTAGTTCGGGAATTCAATGAGA